ATTTTGTTCTTCACCTAACATAAAAATATAGCTTTAAATATTTAATGACTTATATTTAAATCATCTTACCTTATAAAAAACTTAGTCAAATAAAACAATTACAGAAATATTAAAATAAATCACTTCGTTAATCACAAAATTGGACGAATATTAAAAGCGAAAACTAAACACGTGCACACCCTGCTCTAGGTAAACAAAGAGGTCAGGACACGTGTGACGTCACTAACTTGCCATTTCTGGCTAACATTGTAGAATAGGAATCTGGCTATCCTTGTAGTATATTTAGCCTTTTATTAAGAATATAAATCATAATAATACAAAGAGATATATAAGATATACAAGTGACACAGCGGGAACGTGGGTCCCTGATGAGACATAGAGTGCTATACCGAGTTTTAAGTGCATAGGCATTTGTTGCCTGAAAGGAGAAAAGTTGGTTGTACATTAGAACCGACTGGCACGGGTTCATAGCCAGCCAGATTTCAGGAAGATATAACTATGAGAAGTTATATAAGCAGCGAGCGCGACATGGGCACTAGCCTGCCAAGTAAAAATGGTGGTTAAATCCGACGAGTAGTCCCTTAGTTGTGGTTCTGTGGTTGCTGTAGCGGCAGATGTTGGTTGGTGGGACGATGGCCAGACAGGTGTTGTATGTATATTTCCCTGCTAAATTTGATGTTGTCACTTACCATCAGTTTTTTCATTAGAGTAGCATATCTTCTGCTGATGGCAAGTCTACGCAGGGTGGCTTCATTGGATGGGTCGTAACCCCCCAAAGCCCCGACCACAAAGGCGTCCAAGAAGGTGTCGTAGCCCTTGGATTTGAAGAAGTCTGCTAGTGGTTTGTATTTGTTGATCTTCTTTTGACGGGCTAGGGTGAAGGCCTCATCTCCGTTTTCAAATGGAGTGGCCACGTCTATGAAAGTTGCTGACTTTGTACGGTCGTTGATTATTGCGAAGTCTGGACGCAGGATTGTTGGAATTCAGGAATCCTCTGGTTAATATACACCCGGGCGTCTTTCTTGTCGGTGGCGTTTACCAGGCGTTGGAGGATATTGTTATGCCTTTTGGTGATATGGGCAAGGTTGCTTGGACAGTGGCAGATGACATGCGCCAATGTCTCGTTGGTGTAGTGGCAGCGTCTACAACGCTTAATGGGGTAGCCGAAGTGGATGTGGCCTCGCAGAGGAACCACGCTTAGGCAGGCCCGGTGAACAAATCGCCAGTCCGCAAATTGGGTATACTTACCGTCTCTCATAAAATGATTACTTTCCCAACTGACAGCAGTTACCTTGTAAGCTTTCCCCTGGACCGGTTTTTGGAGAAGGGAGTTGAGGTGTTTGATTCTCACCAGGTTGTTCAAGGCGCGGGAGCACGTTGTCTTCTTGACGATGTTCTCATTGACCGTCAGTAGTGGGCCCTCTTCTCCTGGTATCCATTCCAACTGCATCCATTTGCGTAGGCGTCGGCATGCGGCACGCAGTCTCGTCCACATCGACCTTATGTCTGCCGCACGGCTGCCGAACTCTTCTTCGAGTGACCCATTAAGATAGGTACATAAGTCGGTCGTACTTGGGTGTCGAAGTATATTGTCCTTGGGCCATCCGTCCTCGTGATAAGATACTGTACATTTTAAATTACATTGTTCATAAGTTATTTTTAATACTTAATTATTATATACTTTTACTATAATTTCAAATTTACGAATTTTATTATCATTTTAAAATTCGTTCTTTTAATTTTTTAATTATCAATATTTTTAACGAATCTCATTTCAGTTGGCAACGTGATTCGTTGAAATAAACAAATTTTTGTCGAGAGTTTCACAGGTGTGGAAAGTAGGAACTAAACGAACGTAACTTACTAGAAGAATTTTTTGAATTACAAAAAAAAAAAAAAACGTTAAAACATTCGATTTTTCCTACCGTCAGGAATTAGGAATTGAAGATGTCTTCTCCAAAATATTTTGAAAATGAAATTATTTGGAAAAGAGAAGAGGTATATTTAACATTTAGTTTAAGAAAATATATAAAATATGTAACAAAATTTTATACATGTCTAAAACTGTTGAGTTTTAAAATGTTTTCCATTTTTAAAACTTTTATTGGTATCTCCATCAGGCACTTTGTTGCATCTCCTCTGTGTCCTGAAATCTCTTTTCTTTGATTTGCATCTTGAGTATGGGAAAGAGCTGGAGCCATGTCTGGAGAGTTAGGTGGCTTCTGGACCTGTGCAATATGTGTTTTACAAGGAATGTCTGGATGAGATACAATTTGTAGGATGGCACATTGTCATGATGAATGAACCAGTCAGAACACTGTGAGAGCTGTGATCTCTTGCATTTAACATCATCTCATAGGTGACGTAAAACAGTCAGGATTCCTTTATCACAGTTCATCCATATCCAGGAGGGATGTATTCATCATATACTATATCTTGGTGGTCAAAAAATTAAAAAACAAAAGAAGGTCAACATGATGTTTGTATTTTTGGATTCAGGACCTTGAAATATTGAGAAATGTAAAAAGATTTAGGAGTAATTTCTATGTGTATGGATTATTAGTTTGTGTGTGGGGGAGCATAATTTTCTTCATCCTCTTTGAAGCTTAATAATTCCTGTCCTTTTTTTGTCAAAAATTTCTGAAGTTTTGAAGGGATGTTTCTTTGTTAAGGAGGTTGATGCTATTAAATTTTGGTGATTAAAGCTTGAGGGGGTGGGGAGATAAAGGGGATTGTGTGTATCATCCAGTAGGGTCTGACTTCCAACAAATCAACTTGATAAATCTAAGGTTTATCAAGTTGATTTGTTAGGCTAGGAATTGAACCTACAGTTCCATGAACAGCATATTTAGATTTAGTCAACTGTATAAACTCTCTCTAATTAAAAATAGCTGCTTGATAGTCAGGTTAAGTGATGAGGATATAGGTTTGATTAGGTTATTTTATGCTCAGTAGGTTATATTGGCTTTAATAATCTAACATAACGATACTATGTTAGAACACTATGCTATATTATATTACCTTGATATTGAAATAAAATTGAATATACAAATACCGTATTTTGACGAGTATAAGTCACTGTCAAGTATAAGACGCACCCCTATTTTGAGACAAAAAATTTAGAAAAAAATTGTTTTAATGGGATTGTCTAAAGATGCATTTTATTTGTTTTTTTATTCAAGAATATGACAGATGGATGAATTGATACCTTTATTAAACTGAAATAATCATCATTTCTTAATGTAAACTCGGAGGTCACGCAATGACAGTCGACAGAACATGGCGGCGATGACTCAAATGTCGCTACTCTGATAATCTAGATACTTTAGCCATTCGGTTGAGGGACCATCTGCTTAACAGACCACTGCACAGGTTGGTCCCTAGAGTGGATCACTACTGTAGGTAATATCACTGTAAAAATGATTACCTGCTGAGTATAAGACGCACCATGATTTAGAGCCCCAAAAAGTAGTAAAGAAAGTGAGACTTATACTCATCAAAATACGGTAATTATTTTTTTACAATTCCTGCATAAGAAGTGTTTTTTACAGTGACTCCTTCAAAAACTTCTTAACAGATTCTACTGTATATTCTCTATATTTAAATTATTATTAAGCCATTTTGATCTATCTGTGGAAATGAGTATATAATTTCTACTTTTTGTGTAAATATTCATGTACATTTCTGGAAATAAAAATTAATTAATTACAATAAGGATTTTATTTATTAATATTTTCAATTTTTTTTTTTAGTGTTAAGAATTTGATCTCATACATAAAATATTATGAAAGCATAATGACATATCTTTCAGAAATTCCACATTAATATAATATTTTGCTAATTTTTGATATTTTTTAATAAATCATTAAAATTTAATGCCTTATAAATTTTAATTATTATTAAGGTTAAAGTGTATCTAGGTAACCAATGGCAGCAGTTAGGTTAGGTTAGGTTAGGTTAGATTAAATTAACTATATTTTTAGTAGACTTTTTTTTTGTTTTTTGTTCAAGAACTATCGTGAATCAATAACTAGTAACGTTAAACACTCAGGGGCCTGCCGGCAGCTCCCCTCCAGAAGGAGTCCGTCGGAAGCGCCATTGTTGGGGTTACCTAGGTACACTTTAACCATTATTAAATATATATGCCTTAATTATAGTGCTCTTATATTTATATATATATATATATACACACACACACACATGCCTTAATTATATTACTCTTTTCATATAATGTTTAAGAACAATTTGTTTTTGTTTATTTAAAAAGTATTTAATATTATTGATTTGAAAATTTATCAGGTCTGAAAAATTTTAGTAATGACAAAAGTGATATTGACAAGTCAAATTAGATTATGAGAATGATGAATCTAGTTTTAATTATAGAAATATTTGTTATATAAAATGGAACTAAACTAATTTAAACTCTACTAATTTTTTGACATAATTTTAAAATTCACAAAACAATTTAATAGATTATGATGTTGATTAAAAAAAAATTGAATATAATTGATATTTGTAATAAATGACATGTTACATATTCTACATTATGAAAAAGAATAATTCAATTCTCTCAACATTCCATTGAATGTTGAGAACCAATTGAATTCCATGATTAATACAATAATTATAAAGAAAACAAGCTATAATCTATTGTGCCAAGCTGCAATTTTTTGTCACAATTCTCTCAATTTTAGGTCTTGTCCCTGTATATCATACTTTTCCTATTAACAATATAGTCATGTCAGTCATCTATCTAACTTCATTTAGTAGAAAATTTCTGAATTGAAATAATGTGTATACATTCTAATGTAATTCCTATATAGTTAATTGGGGCTTCCTTCCCCTAAGCTTTCCATATCTGGTGCATTTTGTGATGATAAATCATTATATACATTAAGCTTAATTTAGTTTTGTCTTTATGATTAAAAACTTCTGGGGGAAAAAAAATAATATTTTATTTTAAATTTCCAGAATGATGATCATAGTGACATGTGGGATGATACTGCGTTAATTGAAGCGTATGATAGAGCTGTCAGCCATGTCAAAGTAAGATGATTCGTATTATTGAATTTTCTTTTAATGTAAGTTATTTTAGAATATAAAAGTAATAAGTAACATTGCAATAAATTTTGCTAATATTTTGAATGAAATTAAAAATTGTCCAAATTTATATACAGAGAATAAACATATTATTTTAAAAATCATTGAAAGGTATTATGAGGTAAATTTTTTTGTTTGATTCATATAGAATGAAAATAAAAATGTTTTCATTGTCTATTTTTTAAGTTCTGGATAATATTTCATCTGATACTATTATTGCTAATATTATTTTTCTTCTTTATTAATATTTCTTTTACACTTTCAAAATTTAAATTTTCATATATTAAACTATTGTTATATATAAGAAATTCTTCCTGATAATGAAAATCTAAAAATATAAATAAATTATATGAACTGTAATAGCAAAATATAGTAATAGCTCTCTGAATTTTCAAATTATAATCTGCTATAGATGATGACTGCTGAAAATATATGTATTTTCCTTTTAATTAAAGAAGAAAACAGTAATGAATTGTTCACCATGCTTCAAGTCAGCACATGGAAACTTTGTTGGCTCGGCAACGTACGGAGACAGTCCCACTAAACGGTTTTTTATATTCTCATCGATTAAGTGATTCACCAATTTGCCTTCATTTCGAGGCTCAGGAGACAACCCTCCATTTCTGGCTGCAATGCCCCATTACACTAGTGCCCGCCACAATCTGGGCATGACTCTGAACATTAACCTATCACACGTCCACATGTTGCTTCCCATTTATGAGCTGTTGACCACCATTACTCTCCACCATCACATGATGGGGCTTGAAATGTACGTCACTCGCACTGGTCACTTCCGTTGACCAATGAGTGCAGTCTATTCGGAGAAAGAGCCTACATGGCTAATATCTCCATATAAAACCATGAGAAGAGAAGAAGTAACGAATTGTTTGTACAAAATTACAGATATGTTAATAAATAAATTATAATGTTTGAGTATGCCTAATATTGTTGTTCGACGAAAGTATCAAGAGATTTTTTTTTTTTTGGCATAAATGGAACCTGAAAAATAATTTTGATATTATATGGTCAAAAAATTGATCTTGCTTAAAGCTACTTTTAAAACATTTAAATTTATGTTTATTAATAGATGTAGCTTTTTATCAAAATTGAACTATTTGAGCTGCAATTTCAAAAAATTGCAGCCCAAATAGTTCAATAGCCCAAACACTTATAAATTCTTACTGTCATCCATCCATCTGTCTTTCCCTAATCTCGAGACCGGAGTTAGATACATGAAAGATGAGTCGAGATACATAAATCTTAGGAGCAGGAGGCTCGATTAACTATATACAAACTTTAATGCAAACCGGAAGTTTGCATTAAAAGTTTCAATTCAAAACTTTTTCCCTGAAAGGTGTTATATAGATCACTGGCATGACTTTATTGTTAATGGAAAAGTATGATGTACAGGGGCAAGCCACTTCTAATTCGAGGTTGAGAGTATATATTTTAAATCAGAAGCATGATTAAAAATTGCAATCTGGTATTGTGACAATGTCACAATAAATAATTGCTCGTTTATTTTAAATTCAATAATATGCTTCTTGTCTAGTTTAAAATGTCTTGGGGAGCTCTATGATAACTTCTTTATTTCTAGATTTATCACACTGTCATCAGACACAAGACCAGCCTAAATATATCAATTTATTTTAACAGTGTGCATTTTGGACTTAGAGTCCCTCTTCAGCTTTTTTACAAAATTTCTGCAAAATTGACATATTTACTACTACAAATCATACAAAACGATTTTTGACATTTGGCAATAATTGTTTCCAATTCTATCCATTAATTAAGTATTTAATTAAGTGTTGAAACCGTGTTTAGAACAATGCAAGACATGATTAAAACTATGAAGTAATACACATCATCACAAGCTGGCTATCAGTTAAAATTACAACATATGAAAAAACTTAAAATAATAAAGTAGTATATACCACTACTAAATTAAGACCATCCTTTTCCTTTTTTCCCTTATATTTATATGGTTTCAACACTTTTAATTGAATACTTAATGGATAGAATTGTAAACAATTATTGCCAAATGTCAAAAATTCCTTTGTACTATTTGGAGTTGTAAATATGTCAATTTTGTGAAAAATTTGTAAAAAAGCTGAGGAGGGACTGTAAGTCCAAAATACGTACTATTAAAATAAATTAATATATTTAGGCTGGTCTTGTGTCTGATGACAGTGTGATAAATCTAGAAATAAAGAAGTTATAGAGCTCACCAATACATTTTAAATTCTTTATTTCAGAACAATTTTTGGACAGTTTGAAAATAAGAATAGAAAGAAATGTTTTGAATTTTGAACCCCTTAATGCCCATTGACGAGTTAAGCCGTCAAGTTAATCAAGTTTTCTGTTGCAATGTTTTTATCAGGATAATCCATAAATAAAGGATTATTTCACATTTTAATATATTTGGTATTTATTAATTATAATTTTTAAAAGCAAACGTAATTTTTTATATACTATACTTTGTTGTGATTTTGGAATTTAAAGTTTTTCAAAGGTAATGACGAAAGAAAGTATTGAAATATAATATAAACAAATATATCAATAGTTATAGACAAAGATATTAGTTTATAAAATATAAAAATATTTTTGTCTATATTTTTTAATGATGATTATAAAACTTAATTATGTAGTTTTTAATTAATTAATTAAAAAAAAGAGAAAATAAAATGGTTTAAGATTTAATTGTTTATTATTGCTTTTGAGTATTATTCTATTTATTCAAAAATTTCAGGAAGCTAAAAATTATAAAATTAGTTTTTATTAATATTTAAAACAAAAAGTTTTTCAGTACAATTAAAAGATTTTTTGAATTATAGACATTAATATTTTAAAATTTTCTAAGATTACTTTGATTTACATAAGACTTCTCATACAGGCATTCCTTGACTTTAGGACATAATGCATTCCTAAAAATATGTACTGTACAAAAGTCAAACAATAGAATTGTATATTAAAAAGAATTTTGTTTCAGGAGAACTAAAAAGAAAGGTTAGGATAAGAAGTTTCTCTTATGAAGATAGAAAAGTGTTAACTTTTTTTACATAGAATATCATGAATAAAAAATTATTTTAAATGTTAAAATCATAGATTAAACAGAAAAACATGCAAAAAAATTTTCTTGCTATCAAAGCTGAAAGAAAGCATCATTACATGATAGCTAAAAGTTTTTGTTTGTCAACTGAAAATGTGTGAAAGTCCAAATTTGGCATACAAAAAGTGATTTAGATATAAAGTATTGGGGTATTAATGTACAAAAGAACAAATTGTCTGAAAATTAAGGAATGCTTGTAAATATCTTTCGTAATTATTAATAATTTTTACAAAATATTCTCCCATATAGGAACAAATTGCAAAAAGGAATAAAGTTGTATCTGACAGTGATGGTAAAGCTAGCGTAACAAGTAGTCACAAAAGAAAGAAACGTGGAAGATCAAAGAATAAAACAACAGTATGCTTTCACTATATATAATTTGATTTGTTTATTTACAAATTAAAGTTTTTCAAAAAGGCAATAAAATGTTTATAAGTTGATTATATGTTACATGCAAAGTATAATAAAACTATTGTTTATAATAACCATTGTTTTAAAATAGCTGATATTATAATTCTAAATTATATTACAATTTTTATAGAATTAGTATATGTGCTTTTTGACATGACTATATAACCAAAATTTCAATAGCAAACTAGGATGAGAACATAGAATGAATATGGAATATCTATTTTTGGTGGAATTTTTTAAAATATTACTTTAGGATTAAACTTATTTATTATCTTCTGATATACCAGGTTTTCTTAAATCCTTTTTAATGCTGTTAATTTAGCTGGATATTTGTGATTTTCAGATCACTCTTAAAAGGGTTTGTGATTTATGACTTTTGTGCCATATCTGAACTAACTCAAAATTAACAAAAAAGATCAGAGAACATATTCTTGAATTTGAATTTTCTAAACATTCTATTTGTGTGATAGCCTTATGCCAGGAAATAATAGGAGGTACAGTACACACTATACTACTCAAGTCTTTATGTATTGCTCCTTGTGTGTTCTGTTTTTCTCATATTATTTACTGGCATAAGGATTTTGCACAAATAGAACTTTTTGAAAATTGATATTCAAGGATATGTTCTGAATATTTTTCTTCTTGTTGTTTGAAGTTGTAACTGAAGAAGCCCAGTTGTATTGGGTGAAAGTACTCTTAAGAAGTGTATTTGTTTGTATTTCTCTCAACAAGAAATGAAATTTGTTTAATATTGCCATAACTTTCGGTTAGTTCATTCATTGTTATATTTGTACAATTTGTTTAGTGACACACTAGTAGTTGCTGAATATTATATTTGTAATTAATTATGCAATTAAAAACTTTTATGTCATTGCTTAGTTTATACAGAGAATTTGTTTAACTCCATACGTATTCTTTATTTTTATTATTTTTGTCTTATCCATATTTTCTAGAGATTTATATAAATATCTTTAAAATTTAGACATTTATTAAAAAATCATATCTTTTTAATACTATATTAAAAAGATATGATTTTTATTAACTTATTAATTTTAATGTGGCTGTCATAATCAAATATGAAAAAACTCAAGTGTCCACCATAAACATAGCAAAATTTATGTTGAAACTTCAATTGTTTTATTAATTTAAATAATTGATACAAATGTATAAAATGGTACAAAATACATTGATTTAAAGTGAAACAATTTGAGACAAATTATTTCATTCTGCTATATACTTTGTTATAATTTTATGTTTTACTTGCAGACCCCGCCATGCGTTGTTGTGGCTATTATAAATTTATAACACTTCCCCTGCAGGGGGAATATCGAAAAATTTCTTGTTAGTGTACATTCTGTTGACGTACCCTATTAAAACGCAATCAAAAACGCAAAAACCAGCATCTTAAATAGTATAAATAGAAGCAGAGTTCTTTACCGTAAACCTTAATCCTAACCATCTCCCTTCAGTGGGTTGAATTTTGACACGTATATTATATAAAAACACGTGCGTATTCGAATGCAGTGTTGTCAAAATTTTAAAGGAATCGGTAGGAACAAATGAACATTACATTTTTATTTAGATAGATAGATAGATGATCTGGTTTAGTTCATTTTCACAGAAAAGCAAACTTAGGGTGTTGTACTCGTAGCGCCATCTGTTGGACATAAAAGCCTTAACCTAGATTATATCTTTTAATTTATATGAATGTTTAACGGTATAATATACAGCCTATGTCCATCCTGAAGTTCCATTCTAAATATTGGTGAAAGAATTTTTGAAATCGGATGAGTAGTTTCGGAGATTACCTGCTTCATACAAACTTACATACATACAAACATTACCTCTTTATAATATTAGTATAGATTTAATTATTAATTTTCTTCATATTCCTATAAAGAGATATACTAAGAATGAAAAAGACTTAGTCAATGGAATCTTAATAATCTCTGTTGTGTTTTTTTTTTCTTAACAAAATACAGAGATATTACCAATGATAATAATTTAAAATTATTTTATTCAATTAAAACTAATTTAAAAAATTGACTAATAAAATGTAATTGAAATAAATTATCTTCAAATTACTGATTAAAAAGTTATTTATTTTTATATTTTTCAGTACAGAAATTTATAATATTTGTTAATTTGAATATTAAGTGAATTATATATATATTACTGTAGATACAATATTAGTAATAACAATATTATCATATAATAATAATCATACCTTTTAGTTTTTGGGAGAAAAATTACATGTAAATTGTTTAATACAGTCAATTTTTAATTTAGTGGAAAGTTGGAGATTACTGCCAGGCTATTTATTCAGAAGATGGTCTTCCATATGAAGCCGTTATTAAGCACATAAACAATGGAATCTGTACAGTTCAGTTCCTTGGATATAAAAATGAAGAGAATATAAAAATAGAAAATATTTGCCATTCAAAAGGAAAAGAAGCTAGAATTCAACAAAATATAGCAGCACAGAAATATAATGCTAATTATGAGGTTAATAATTATAGTTTTCATTATATTAATTTGCCGATTTTTTCTATATTTTCATTATTTGCAACACTTACAATTAAATTATTATTTCATTTTTCTTTCTCTAATAAATTTGGTTATAAATATGAAACAGAAATTTTTCTATACATTACATTGGACTTAACTAAGAGAGAAACAAATCAACTGCATTAATCCCTTAAAATCTGTTATTTCAAATTTTCTGAAAAGTTTGTTTTTGATGATGTAGGTTTTTATTCTAAACGTGCCAAATCAGGCAAGTGAATAAGTGTATTCTTCATTTTAAGTATTAAAATCTTGAGATAATTAAAATATTTCATTTTAAAAGTATAAAGTATTAATGTTATTTGAAATAATATAATGTGTTTTTTGTTTTCATTTTAACATAGAATGTATTGTATATAAATTAATAGATAAGATTATTTTTATGAAATATATTTTTAGCATTCAGATGAAATGAATTGCAATTATTATGCAGAAGATACAAGTTCATCTGTAGGAACAAATCATAAACACTCGCATGGATACAAGAATCAAAATGGAAAAAAACATTTTTTAACACATCAGTATCCATTTCATACTTCTGGACAGTCATCATATTCAGGACCTGATCAATGTCATGTAAGGTTTTAATTTATTATAATAAAATCATTGTATACAAGGTCTGTTCAAAAAGTATCGGACCTTTGGTCGGCAAAAATACATTTATTGATTTTGAGGTACAAAACCCTAATCCCCTTCAAAGTAGTCTCCTTGGTAATGTATACACTTCTCCCAGCGTTCCTGCCATAGCTGGAAACACCGCTAGAACGCATCTTTTGGAATGGCCATCAGCCGGTCCGTCGGATTCCGCATGATGTCTTCTCTAGACTAAATTCGGGTTCCTTTTAGCAACATTTTCAGCTTGGGAAATAGCCAAACGTCACATGGAGCCATGTGGGGAGAGTACGGAGCGTGACAAACCACAGGAGTATTGTGTTTGGCGACGAAAGCCCGAATCAGATGCGCAGAATGGGCGGATGCGTTATCACGATGGAGCTGCCAAGTTTTGATCGACCACAGATCCGGTCATTTGTGTCACACTGTATTGGAAAGACGACGAAGGACCTTCAGGTAGTACTCCTTTGCGATGGTTTGGCCTTGTGATGCGTACTCATGACACACCACCCCACGAGAGTCAAAAAAACTGTCAACATGACCTTTGATATTGCTGCGGACCTGCCGCGCATTTTTTGGCCTCGAGGATCGTCCCCGAAAGTCTGCTGAATCTTGCGAATGGTTTACGCTCGGGTATCGCCAAAGATTTGGGCAAAATTTGATGTAATATCGCTGCTCACGTTGTTCAGTCATTTTCCAGCTTAGTGGAATCCGGCGAGAGCGTACTACATGACCTCACTCATAGGCCGATTGCCAACGACTGACGCTTCCTGCAGGCGGGAAAAAATTCAGCGCTGTGCATGACTGTCCCCTCCACAACTCCACCAAAGGAGGCATCTCGCGCATCATTGGTTTACGCGGAGAAAAAAAGGTCCGATACTTTTTGAACAGACCTTGTATATTGTTTTAATATATTGTAACGCTTTTATTATATTTCAAATGATTTGAATTATAATAAAAGCTATTTAGATGCTGAAAGTCTTTGTTTTTTATATAATAATGGTGGGTATTTGAAGGAAATGCATAAAATGCATGCTATTAAACTAATTATTAATTATATGCTTATTTAATAAATTCTGTCAGTTTTCCAAAATTTCAAATTAACTTTATTGTATTAGGATTATATTGTCTGGGGTATACAAATTTTGCATAAACATTATAACATTACAATTCTTTTAATTTTCAAAACAAGTTAACCCATACATAACATTATATAAATTAATTAAATTAGTTGACCGTTTTTATTTTAATTATTAACAGAAACTGCGTTTTCTGTTATTGTCAGAATTTTAATAATCATACAATACCTTACTCTAAAACAATAAATCTTTGAAAATAGTTATATATAAATTATATATAGTTTTGACCTGTGACCTGTGAAAAAGATATACATATTCTTTTCGTCTTTAATATTTTCTAATTCTCGGAGATTATAATTGTAGCATAATTTATGAGCTTCTTTATGTAAGCAAAAAATGTGAACTTTTGAGTATTCATCATTACATCTATAATGATTACCATTAGATAAGTCATATATTATCACCAGCTCCCTATTTAATCTTAATTGTACGAAAAAATTTTTTATATTAAAAGGCAAATTAAAAACAAATAACTATTAATTTGTGGATAATCCAAAATTTTATACCATTCTGGATTTTTTTTCCTTATTAAGTTCATCTATATTCTGTACCATAGATCTCTTGAAAACATTCTGGATCAATTGGGAACTAAGTAAATCACTCATCTTATTTCTGGTCCTATAAAAAAGCCATATCTATTTAAGATATTAGATACTTGACTAACCCAATTATTCCATTGAGAACTAATTTGCATTTTTTGATATAATATTTCCAATAACTTTGATGATAACAACTCACTATCTGTTATCTTTATGAAAAAATTATGTCCATTTTATATACAGAATATTTATTTTAAATCAACTTAACTCTAGTCTAAGAGCTCTTCCAGGTATATTATATTCTAGCAAGAACATCTTACAAATAAATTTATTTTGAACTACTATTAACTTTTGGTACTTAGTCAAACACCAAACCAATGAAGCATAGCCAACTGAGTTCATAATAACAGAATTGAATATCTTAATTGGGTAAAGATATTTCTCAATTTCAATTGACTAAATAATCTCAGCGTGTTATTAATCAATTTATTAGATTTTTTCATATATTTTTAATATTGATTCTCAAATGATAAAGTAGGAGTCAACATGACTTCCAAGAATTTGATTTCTTGTACCATTTTTAGTTCTTCATTTTTAACATAAAAGAACATATTTCTCGGGAAGTCTACTCCATTCTAAAATACCATCACAAATGACTTAAATTAAATTTTAATATCTCACAAAACTTTTACACAGCCTTTTCTTTTAAAATTGGTCTACGAAAATTATTTACGTTATTCCAGAATGACTTTGTATCTTTCATATTACTCAGTGTGTCACTTATTTCCAAAAAATACTTTATCCTTTTTGCTTTTATATAATTTCTAAATATGCTTTCAATGACTGATTTGAGTTTGTCTTTCTAAATTGTTTCAAACTCTTTTGTTTCTTCAATTTATAATAATTGCAAACCAGTTGTCAAACCAGTTTTGTTTAAATTTTGGNCTACTAATTTTTTGACATAATTTTAAAATTCACAAAACAATTTAATAGATTATGATGTTGATTAAAAAAAAATTGAATATAATTGATATTTGTAATAAATGACATGTTACATATTCTACATTATGAAAAAGAATAATTCAATTCTCTCAACATTCCATTGAATGTTGAGAACCAATTGAATTCCATGATTAATACAATAATTATAAAGAAAACAAGCTATAATCTATTGTGCCAAGCTGCAATTTTTTGTCACAATTCTCTCAATTTTAGGTCTTGTCCCTGTATATCATACTTTTCCTATTAACAATATAGTCATGTCAGTCATCTATCTAACTTCATTTAGTAGAAAATTTCTGAATTGAAATAATGTGTATACATTCTAATGTAATTCCTATATAGTTAATTGGGGCTTCCTTCCCCTAAGCTTTCCATATCTGGTGCATTTTGTGATGATAAATCATTATATACATTAAGCTTAATTTAGTTTTGTCTTTATGATTAAAAACTTCTGGGGGAAAAAAAATAATATTTTATTTTAAATTTCCAGAATGATGATCATAGTGACATGTGGGATGATACTGCGTTAATTGAAGCGTATGATAGAGCTGTCAGCCATGTCAAAGTAAGATGATTCGTATTATTGAATTTTCTTTTAATGTAAGTTATTTTAGAATATAAAAGTAATAAGTAACATTGCAATAAATTTTGCTAATATTTTGAATGAAATTAAAAATTGTCCAAATTTATATACAGAGAATAAACATATTATTTTAAAAATCATTGAAAGGTATTATGAGGTAAATTTTTTTGTTTGATTCATATAGAATGAAAATAAAAATGTTTTCATTGTCTATTTTTTAAGTTCTGGATAATATTTCATCTGATACTATTATTGCTAATATTATTTTTCTTCTTTATTAATATTTCTTTTACACTTTCAAAATTTAAATTTTCATATATTAAACTATTGTTATATATAAGAAATTCTTCCTGATAATGAAAATCTAAAAATATAAATAAATTATATGAACTGTAATAGCAAAATATAGTAATAGCTCTCTGAATTTTCAAATTATAATCTGCTATAGATGATGACTGCTGAAAATATATGTATTTTCCTTTTAATTAAAGAAGAAAACAGTAATGAATTGTTCACCATGCTTCAAGTCAGCACATGGAAACTTTGTTGGCTCGGCAACGTACGGAGACAGTCCCACTAAACGGTTTTTTATATTCTCATCGATTAAGTGATTCACCAATTTGCCTTCATTTCGAGGCTCAGGAGACAACCCTCCATTTCTGGCTGCAATGCCCCATTACACTAGTGCCCGCCACAATCTGGGCATGACTCTGAACATTAACCTATCACACGTCCACATGTTGCTTCCCATTTATGAGCTGTTGACCACCATTACTCTCCACCATCACATGATGGGGCTTGAAATGTACGTCACTCGCACTGGTCACTTCCGTTGACCAATGAGTGCAGTCTATTCGGAGAAAGAGCCTACATGGCTAATATCTCCATATAAAACCATGAGAAGAGAAGAAGTAACGAATTGTTTGTACAAAATTACAGATATGTTAATAAATAAATTATAATGTTTGAGTATGCCTAATATTGTTGTTCGACGAAAGTATCAAGAGATTTTTTTTTTTTTGGCATAAATGGAACCTGAAAAATAATTTTGATATTATATGGTCAAAAAATTGATCTTGCTTAAAGCTACTTTTAAAACATTTAAATTTATGTTTATTAATAGATGTAGCTTTTTATCAAAATTGAACTATTTGAGCTGCAATTTCAAAAAATTGCAGCCCAAATAGTTCAATAGCCCAAACACTTATAAATTCTTACTGTCATCCATCCATCTGTCTTTCCCTAATCTCGAGACCGGAGTTAGATACATGAAAGATGAGTCGAGATACATAAATCTTAGGAGCAGGAGGCTCGATTAACTATATACAAACTTTAATGCAAACCGGAAGTTTGCATTAAAAGTTTCAATTCAAAACTTTTTCCCTGAAAGGTGTTATATACATCACTGGCATGACTTTATTGTTAATGGAAAAGTATGATGTACAGGGGCAAGCCACTTCTAATTCGAGGTTGAGAGTATATATTTTAAATCAGAAGCATGATTAAAAATTGCAATCTGGTATTGTGACAATGTCACAATAAATAATTGCTCGTTTATTTTAAATTCAATAATATGCTTCTTGTCTAGTTTAAAATGTCTTGGGGAGCTCTATGATAACTTCTTTATTTCTAGATTTATCACACTGTCATCAGACACAAGACCAGCCTAAATATATCAATTTATTTTAACAGTGTGCATTT